TATTCATCCCTCTTTCCTGTGACTCAAGGGATCGCGAACCCTTTCCCTTCCCTAGGAGTAAATTCTATTTGGTCTGAACCAGTCACAGCTGTTCCTTTCCCCTTGCCAGTGATTGAAGTAAGCATGGGACCCAGCTATGGACAATAGGACATGAGGAGAGATGTTCTGAGGGGCTCCGGGGAGTTTCCTCATGACTACTAAGGAGACGCGGGAAGAAATGTCCAGCCCTTTCTGTGACTGGACTTTGCTGTGTGAAGATGTAGCCTGGAGCTGCAGCAGTCATTTTACTCCAGATGAGTCTGAGGATAAGACCAATGGGAGGAAGGAGAAACAAAAGACTCACCAGACAATGAAGCTGGAGCAATAATGTGTCCTGGTTGTAGCCCACTCTTCCTTTGGCCTTCTTGATCTGTGAGGTAATCAATTTTCTTACCATTTAAACCAGTTTGAGTCAGGATTTTTTGTTACTTGAAGCACAGAGCATCCTAACTGATCTCTCCACTTTTACTAAGAGTTAATGAGAAACGAAGTATCCTGAGAGGTATCAGTCTGACACCAAAACTTGTGAATGTGATCTTTTATCACATGACTTGCTGTGATTTAATTGCTTATGTAAAAACGTGCTTGTTATGTAAAACTTTATTTGTTCACCTACATCATAAAATATATATTATAGGAAATACCATTTGTTCACTTAAGCTGTATATGAACTCACTGGCCTTTTGTTGATTAATAGTCCACCACTACAAATCCTGAGTGGGTTTCCTTATCAAAGAGAATCTTCATTAGCTCCTACAGCTGTTGAGAACAGTTACCTCTGAGAGCAGACCCAAACATTGTGCAAAGCTTTGTTCTTGCACAATTTGCAAATATCTCATATTTGAACCACATCTACTTCTTTGGCACCAATTATTGACTCATCAGATCACCATTAAAATATTCATGTACCCTCCATATTTGGATTTCTGATCTTCTGGCCCACTACCAAAAAAACCTAGATTCTCTAGGTTCTTCTTCCACTTTCAACCCTTTACAAAACTAGATCATGGCCTGGGTAAGTCAAGGCTGCTCCTGACAGACAATTCTTGAGCTAGTGTATTTCACACATTCATGGGATGCCCCACTGCTCTGGCCTGACAAAGTACACACAATCCCTACCTGAAGTCCCCTTTCTTTCTTTATCTACCCACTGCCCCTAATATCCATCCAGGCCTAAATTAGACAGGCAGCCATCCCTCAAATTCAAAGTAATTTTTCACCATATTGTGTGGGCAAAGACAGGGTATCCTCAGTACCAAGTTGGGGGCAGGAAACTTGAAGAAGTATGGTTCATTTCAGTTGTTCAAAATGTTTTCGGTAACTTTCATTAATCCATGAAAAAGAAATAAATTTTTTCTGGGGCCGCCCTGGTGGTGGAGCGGTTAAGTTCACACGCTCCACTTTGGCGGCCCGGGGTTCAAAGTTTCGGATCCCGGTCGCGGACCGACGTACCACTTGTGAAGCCATGCTGTGGGGGCATCCCATATAAAGCAGAGGAAGATGGGTAGGGATGTTAGCGCAGGGCCAATCTTCCTCAGCAAAAACGGGAGGATTGGCAACAGATGTTAGCTCAGGGCTAACCTTCCTCACAAAAAAAAAAAAAAAGAAGTAAATCTTTAAATCTTCTTTTTTTTTTTTTCCCAAAGCCCCAGTAGATAGTTGCACGTCATAGTTGCACATCCTTCTAGTTGCTGTATGTGGGATGTGGCCTCAGCATGGCCGGAGAAGCAGTGTATTGGTGAGCGCCCGGGATCCGAACCCAGGCCGCCAGTAGCGGAGTGTGTGCGCTTAACCACTAAGCCACGGGGCCGGCCAGAAGTAAATTTTTAAAAATCTATTTTACATTAGTATCTTTATTATTAGAATTCACACCATCAAAATACAAAATGAAATTCTACCCAGATTATATGAGTTGGAGAAAAATATATGAATCAAAATATCTAAAGATAAATTTAAGTTGTGGTTATATGGCTGTACAAGAATCATTCCAGCTCTTTGGAGAACAGGCATCGATGATGTTTGATAAGAAGTGTGACACTGTCCTTGTGAGGATAGGAATATTCAGGGTCCATTTAATATTTATAAAATCTGGAGATTAAAGGAGAGATTTCAGGGCTGTAAAAAAACTGGTGCTGTCCTTTAAAAATCAGGAGCTGAAAAGCAATGGAAAAGAATAAACTCCTGGTGCATACAGTAACATTGATAACCTTCATAAATATATTGAGGGAAATAAAACCAGATGCAAAAGAGAACCTACTGTACGATTCCATGTATATGCTGTTTGAGTAGGCGGGCATAGATTGGGGAGGGGAGTAAAAGAACCTTATGCGATTCTGGAAATGTTATGTATCTTAACAGAATGATGATTATATGGGTATATACACCAATCTGTGCAGTTAAGGTTAGATATAATTAATGCTGCCACATGAATGCACTTTACGTACTTTTACTACGTATGTGTTCTCAATCAATTAACAAATTGCTCATCTGTAAACCATTAAGTAAATTTTGGTTAAATAATAATAGAATATATAAATTTATGATTAAATATTGACAGAATTGAAGCTTCCTGACAGAAGGAACCATGTCTGTTTCACTTGGCACTGGATTCCCAGAGTGTGGCGTATTCTACCTGGCGTAGGGTAGCAGGAAGAAGGAAGAAAGGAATGGAAGAGAAGAAAGAAATTATTTTAGCTGTTTTTCAGTTTATGTATTATAATTAATGCTGCCATCTGCTTCATGCATTTAGTTTTTCCCTTAATTTATTAAAGGAGGTGCCTTTGAGCAGGGCTGCCCCATAGAATATCTCCTATTTCCTACATAGAATGGCTGGGATGAGGAAAAAGAAAACATTCTCAGCATTTACTTATGTCTTATGAATAGGAAGGACTGAGGGAGAAAAGAAGATAAACCAACCAGAAGGAGATAACCTCCAGAGCCAGAGTGCAGAGCAGGATCCTGTGATTTAAAGTGCTAACATAAATACCTGGAAGGAAAGAGTTCATGCCTTATATCTGGGCCGAGAGCGAATAATGGGAAGCTACCCATGAGATGCACTGTGACTGGATGAAATCTGCTTCTCAGAACTCCCGCTCACTGGAGAAGAGTTTAACTGAGTCATTCAACAAGACGAAAATGACAAGATAGAGGCAGGATACCCTACACAAGGGAATGAGGGGCCATGAACAAAGGCTAAGAAGTCTCTCTTCCTTGTCCTTGGGTAGTGGCATGGAGTAATCCTACCTTATGTGGAACAAAGTATTATTTCCCATAGTATATGAAGAAGGTTTTAGTCTTTGAACAGCTGGTATAAGCATATCTTTTTATAAGAAAGAAACTGCTTGTGAAAATGGGCTTTGGTAGGTGCATTTTGGGTAAAAGGCAGAGCTCAGGTTTCTGCCCAAGAGGAAGCAACTCTGTATAACAGTAAGAGAGTTGGAGCTGACTGGGAGCTTTTGGGAGAATTGTCAAGATGAACCCCTTAAGCTGGCCTTGAGTATAGGAGGGATATGGGGAAAAGTAAAATGCTGGTGGAGGGCCGGCCCCGTGGCTTAGGGGTTAAGTGTGCGCGCTCCGCTACTGGCAGCCCGGGTTTGGATCCCGGGCGCGCACTGACGCACCGCTTCTCCAGCCATGCTGAGGCCGTGTCCCACATACAGCAACTAGAAAGATGTGCAACTATGACATACAACTATCTACTGGGGCTTTGGGGGAAAAAAAAGGAGGAGGATTGGCAATAGATGTTAGCTCAGAGCTGGTCTTCCTCAGCAAAAAAAAGAAGAGGATTAGCACGGATGTTAGCTCAGGGCTGATCTTCCTCACAAAAAAAAAAAATGCTGATGGAATTTTATTAAGTCATTAGCTGAATGATTTGTAGTGTAAACACTCTTCATTTCCTCTTTGCAATCTTTGGTAAAATTTATGTTCTTTATTGTTTTATAAAGCATATTTTCTTTGTGGGAGAATGAGTATAAATGCTGAGTTCTACTTTGATGTTAGCACTAATTAAAACTGTCTCACTGTTCAGGCTGCTATGACAGAATACTATAAACTGGGTGGCTTATAAACAACAGAAATTTATTTCTCACAGTTCAGGAGGCTGGGAAGTCCGTGATCAAGGTGCCAGCAGATTCAGTTCTGGTGAGGGCTACTTCCTGGTTCCTAGACGGCCCGTCTTCTAGTATCCTCGCAGGGTGGAAGGGGAAAGGGAGCTCTTGGGGATCTCTTTTATAAGGACACTAAAACCATTCATGAGGGATCCACCCTCATGACCTAATCACCTCCCAAAGACCCCATCTCCAAATACCATCACATTGGGCGTTACGTTTCAACATGTGAATTTTGGGAAGACACAAACATTCAGCTATAATAGAAACTCAGACTACATGTGGAGATGGCCTATATCAAGTTAGCCTCCATTTAGTCACTCTGGGTCTGCCATGTTCTTTCCTAAGAGTCCCTGGGGAAGGAAGGGCACCAGGAGGACACAAAGGAAAAGGGCAGACTGGGAAAGCTGCAAATTCGATAGGGCAGGCACCTTGTCCTGGACTGAAGATGGCCCATGTAGTCCAGGAAGCTCTCCTGCTTCATGGTAATACACACGGCACATGCACCAGGCTGCCAAGCAGCAAGTAAGAAACAGTTTCTTCCTCGGGTTCCTTATGGAATGTTGAGAATAAACCATAGCTTTCAAGCCAGACTGCTTAAATTACTGGTTCCTCTCTGGGTTTATTATTTGCTAGTCTCTTTCCTTTATCAAAGCCTTTTTTTTCTCTCCAACTGTTCCAGTCTGGTCTCAGCTGGGCTAGTTCAAGGGAAGAAGAAAGAGATCATGTGCCAAGGTTGGGCCAGGAAGATAATGGGGCAAAAGCACCTCCCTGTGGCTAACTGGCAGGAGAGCAAGAAACGTTAGCTCCTGGATCTGCTATAGGGAAGAGAGAAATGCAAGAAAATGATTTGTGGGAAGTGTAAGCTTCGGAGTTTTATTATCATTAAGGTAGGTGGGATTTTCCTTAGCCCATGGTCTCTTTAGCGCCACAAGGTTACAGATCATGAGGTCTGAAGTGCCAAGAAAATATAGGCTCAGTATAGATAGCCTCTGAAATTTTTAAAGCCACGAATTATTTTAGCATGAACACCATCATATGCCATCATTTTTTGTTATGTTGCTAAAGCCATCGGATATATGTTAGAGTGATTTTTTTTTGTCTGAGTGTCATGACAGGAAAATAATATTTAAATGAATATATAAATCAAATCATCTCTACAGGCGTTGTTAATCTAAAAAAGTATTGCATAGACAACAGGAAAAGCAAGGACATCTAGTCTATACTTTCAAATAGGATTTGATTATTTTAAAGTTGTTCACTAGCAGAATTTCTCACCAAGTTAGTGTAAATTATGCTATTTAATAAAAGATAGCAACAATGAAGTTAAATGGTTTTTTTTCTGTTCAGTATTTGCTTTAAGAAAAAAATCCTGAAATTTGTAGGGATTTCTGATGCCAGGAAATCATGAAATGTAAGAGTATAGTTAGCAATCAGGGCGACCTAGCTCATGGTAATTGGCATATGTATAATTATAATTTGCATTCCAGTTATTTAAACTGAGATATCCTTGATCAGGTTGAACATACTGTGAGTAGAAGATCTCCTTTTCCAAGAAATAAGATGGAGAAAGTCTTTGGAGAATGGCCTCGCTGAATTGGTAAGTGAGCTTTCTCCGGATTTTGGTGATTTCCCCAGTCCTTCCATAATTCCTCAGTGCTCTGGCCATTTTCTGGTAAGTCATGGTCTTTCGGTTGCCTTTTCTTTTTCCCCAAAGTTGGGCAAGTTTTTCTTTGTTTTTTGATATAAACTGAAAGATGCCTCTGTTTTTATCTACCCACTGAATACAAGATGCCATCTCGGGATTACTCAGGGATTCATGAAGATATTCAAACAGTCGGAGCTTCTTCCTGCCTGAAATGGAGAAAAACAATGTCATTTTCCACCCTACCTGTACACAAGGAACATCTTCAGGAAGAGTTTGTTGAATGACTCCAGAATTAAAAGCTACATTGGGACTGGTTTTCCTCCTCCTCACCCCCTTAGGAATGCATTAATGGCATCATTTTATGGGACTTGAAAGTCAAGGGTCTGTCTAGTCTATTGGAAAAGGGAAGCACAGACCCTTTTCACCCAAGTCTCCCGTATGTCATGTGGTCTTTCTTCACAGTTAAATCTTGACTACTAGTTTTATGTCATATGTTAAACTTTCTATAGAACAACAAAACTGAGCAAACTGGACTGCAACGTTTAGTGGTTTTAAAGAAAAGCCTCAAAAGCCATTTCCAGAAAGCAAGTCATTTGAAGGGGCTTTATTCAAATGAGTTAAGTCAAATGAGATAAGAAATGTGAATGCGTTTTGTAAAAGCAAAACTGTACGCCAACATACGAGAAAGCAATAACAGAGACTTTGGTAAAAATGCTAATTCTGGGTCTGCGTAATGACTTGAAACATAAAGAATAGAAAAACTGGAGTGGAAAACGCCAAAACATCTTCATGATATTTTGACATTATTTATGAGCAATGGCAATGGGCCTTGTGATATTTTTCATTGCTGTGAAATAAAATGGTACTACCAGAGTTTTCTTCTCTTTAGGAACACAGCCCTTTACATTTCAGAGTAAGTAAACAGAAAACTTTGGGAGGATTTGTTGTGATGGTTTTTGTTTGTTCAGTTGATTTGATTTCTTTGGTCTAACAGAGAACAAAGGTGACAGCCCGTTTTGTGACTTCTGAATTGGCCTATAAATACCACGCCCCACTAGATCTGTCAGTAGCTAAAAAATCGATGGCCAAATTCCATTTTCCCCTTGAGAAAGTAGAATAGTGGATTCTCAAACTGCTTTAAACACTCTCTGGGGAGTAATACTCTTGCATCAGTCATCATTCATCCAAAAACCTCAAAGGTTTTTACAAAGATTATCTTTTGTGTTATATTATCTTGAGTTTATGAATTGAGAAATGAAAGGGACTTACCAAAAAACACATCATGAATTAAAGTCACAGCCTTCAACAAACTCTCTGCCTCTCATCTAGTGGTCAAATCAATTACAATAGATCCTCATCTTTTTAAATTTGTTTTCTTTTTTTTTTTGTTTTTTTTAAATTTTTATTTATTATTTATTTTATTTTTTGCCCCCAAAGCCCCAGTAGATAGTTGTATGTCATAGCTGCACACCCTTCTAGTTGCTGTATGTGGGACTCGGCCCCAGGATGGACGGAGAAGTGGTGCCTCAATGCGCACCCGGGATCCGAACCCGGGCTGCCAGCATCGCAGCGCGCGCACTTAACCACCAAGCCACAGGGCCGGCCCTAAATTTGTTTTCAATTTTGAAAAAAATGTTATCTTTTTATTTTTTAAAAATAAAAACATTATGTGTTCATGGTAAAACGTTCAAACAGAAGCACAAAGTGAAAGTAAAAGTTTCAGTCTATCCTACATATTTCTAGAAAATGTTTTGTCTTCTTTTTTGCATATATAAACATATGCATCTCCTTTAAAAATTACAAATAGTATCACACTATTTTGCACTTTTTTCAGTGAATAATATATCTTTAATTAAATCATAGAACAATATAGAGATTAGTTATAGATAGATGAAAGACCGAACTGTTGACAATGCTTACTTCTGGAGCATAGCATGGAAAGAAGGAATACTTTCGCTTATTCTTTACATACTTCTGAATCATTTGAATTTTTAATAATGAACATTACTACTTTTGAATTATGGAATTAAAAAGGATTAAAACAAAAAAGTAAATGTATTTTAGAGTTCTTTCTGTATCAATATATAAGGTATGCCTTCATGCCTTTTAATAGCTATATATGTTCTGTTTTATGTATGTATTATTTTTCTCCCAATAACGAGTGCCTGAGTTATTTCGAAATTTCATTCTGTTTCAAATGTATCCCTATTTCAGGTGGATGAACAGAAACAAGAAACAGAAAATGGTGGATGAAGTGTCTCCTAATGGCAAAGCTCCACAGCACAAACACCAGTGAAAAGACGCAGGCTTCACACTCTGGGGTGAGTTAGTGGTTAGTTATAAAAAAAATAATAGGTGACAAGCTAAACATCTGGACAGAGGTAGAAGTGTTATCCTCCTTATATTAAATTACTACCGTGGCTCAATGTTCAATACCAATACTCAGTGATACAGTATATTTATTTTATCTGTGTGATTATATGCATTATTTCTTGCTGGATTAGAATATTACTGCATAGTTAGAATTTTATGATTCTAGGATATAGTATACCGTTTTCTAGGAACAAAACTAGTTTTACTAAAAAATGTTCACTTAAAATAATTTTAAGTAACTGTGATAAATTATCATTGCATTGTAAAATTGGGATGTATCTTAAACATCTCTGTACCTTATACACAAACAAATATGGTAGTTGAGTTCCAGTCTTTTACTATCACAAACAACATGGCAAGGAACATCCTAATACATATATATGTACACACACACACAACACGCACACACATCAAGGGTAGCTTGAGAAATTATTACAATGCCAGGCTACGAGCATAATGCTTTACATAGTTATTCTCATTTAATTTTTACAGCTATCTTACAAAATCCATACAATTATTATTTGTTTTTTGAATAAGGAAACTGTGGTACAGAAGGTTAAGTGATTTGCCCAGGCTCTCACAATTAACCCAGAGTTCACACTCAATCCTGAGTTATATAGTCTCTAAGAGTCAAAAGATATGAATATTTAAAAATTTTGATTGTTATTGCCAAATTGCCTCGCAAAACTTTGTACCAATTTACACTCCCTCCAATAGTGCATGAGAATGTGTGTGCCCCATATTTTAGCCAATAGAGGCTACTATCCTGCTTTACCACATTTTCCCATCTGTTAGGTGAGATCATCATCATCTTAAATTTATGAAATCAGATTTCAAATTTATGAAATATCGAATTATTATGGAACTTTTTTTTGCAGAAAACTTAACAGACAAGATGATTTCTATCTTGAGTGCTTCACAATTAGAATAAGATTGCTAAAATAATTTACAGAAAAGTTCCCCCTTCTATACCTAAAATATGTATACATTATTCTTGAATACAGATTTATTTGAGAAAAGTGACACTTTGTAGCTTCAGAACATCTCTATGAAGCGATAGGGAGGCTTACTCAAGATGAACGGCTTGGAGTGGTTCAGTCTGTCAGAGTTAAATTATTCTCAATCATGATAAAAGATATTTTGCAAATACAATTCCAAACTCAGACATGAAATCCCCTTAAAGCTGCTTTGTGGAAGATCTGTTTCTTTTACCTACACAACGAGTGATGGATCTACATACCTTTTCCTCCCTTTTGCTGGAGAACAGCAGGTTGTACTAGCTGGTTTTCAGGGATGTTCTGCAGAGATTGATGAATATTTCCTTCAAAATAGAGGTCTGCAGCACTGTTCTGTATAAATAATGCAGCAAGATGTTAAGTGGGACTTTCCATGTGGCCCTCCAGTTGGTGGCAAAAGTCAAAGGTTGAGGACAAAAAAAGTGCTAAGCATCTCCCAAATTCTAGAAAGCACTACCCTCAATTGCAGCCAGATCTCTCCCAGGATAGAACTAGCATCAAACCTGTATAAAAAGAGGACCAAGGGATGGAGGGTAATCTTTGGCTTTGTGAAGAGTTCCATATACTCCCTTCCCTATGAGAAAGGAGAGGGAGTTGCTTCCCTCCATCCCCCTAAAAATGCCCAGTGAGAAAGAAAGATCCAAAAGAATCATTAGTAGAAATTGAGGTGCCAGCTAAAAGGGAAGATGGGCTTCCATTCCTGAGTTGGATGCCCATCTGGGCAAGAGGAGATAAGAAGAGAAAGATGGCAGCCAAGGCAGGGCAGAGCCAAGAGAGGGGACAGGAGGGAGGAACCGGAGCTCCTACCATCACATACAGCAAGGATATGTGGATCTCTATGGGTTAATTAGACACAGTGGAAGGGGCTGGACTTGCATCATCTTACCACACCCCACACAAGATAGCTACCCAGAAGGCAAGGAGTCCCCAACCACAAGAGGCTATACAGTGTAAGCTAGGGGGTGTGAGTTAAAGTGGAAGTACGGTTTCGCAACTAAAAATATTGAGCATTCTGTGTTTTACCTGGCAACCCTAAGTGGAGGCAGAAAATGTTATGCTGGAACCAAAACTCCCTCTTCAAAGAAATCCTTGTGGAGAGGTCCTGACAATTTGCAGGGTCAGATAAAGGACATTTGACATAGCACGATTGAAGGTAATGACTAAAGAAAAACCATTTTATATTTACATCCCACTATACTAAGACTGGTGATAAAATGGATACATCAAGAAAACAATATAGCGGCCAGCCCCGTGGCCTAGTGGTTACATTTGGCACACTCCACTTCGGCAGCCCAGGTACAGTTCCCAGGCACAGACCTACACCACTCATTGGTGGCCATGCTATGATGGCGATCCACATACAAAATAGAGGAAGATTGGCACGGATGTTAGCTCAGGGCGATCTTCCTCAAGCAAAGAGAGGAAGATTGGCAACAGATGTTAGCTCAGGGAGAATCTTCCTCAGCAAAAAAAAAAAAAGAAAACAACATAAAAGAACACATGAATGGAGAGATAGATGGTGAGGACACTTTCGTTTGCAGAAGGCTACTAAAATATAAACAAATTGGTCCAACACATGTAGCTAGCTCTGAGTTTGGGAGGGAAAACAGAGCAGGTTAATACTAGATTGTAAGTAAAGCCAGTACTGGAGAAGTTTGGGCCTTTGCTCTACGGCTTTTAGAGGAACCACAACTTTGGGCAATTTTCCAGATGGACTAAGAAGTGATATGAGAACCCTAAAAGCACCTCCTCTTTACGGAAGTCTCTTAAACCAGTCTGAAGCTGGGGGGAGAGCAATGATGAAGGGCAGTTTCCTTCTTGATGGCATTGCTGATGATCACCCACCTTGACTGTCAATTCACACTATGATGGTCATGAATAAGCATGCTACAGTCAGGGCTGTCTTTAAGCTGGGTTTCGGCTAGCTTACACCAAGTGGAAGGCTGGTACAAATGGGAAATTTGCCTGTTCCTGAGGGGTGGTCTCCTGGTACATGTACTCACTATTACTGTTCTCCAGTTATAGACAGGTTCCTCTACAGGCAGCACACCACAGCAGTTGGAATTTCCTCTGACATGAGAACAGTGGTTGATGAACGCGAGGTAATTTTTGTAATCTAATTTAAAAACAGAGAAAGAAACTGAAAATGTCAAGGTTTATATTTGTGTGTGTGTGTATGTTTATAAATGCTTATATATGCAATTGCTCCTTCCCATGTTCTCTTTCCAGGTTCTCTTCTCATTTTGCATTTCTCTATGGAGTTTGTTGCATTATGCTAGTATTACAGGAACTCTTTTACAATTACAGCTCCTTGTAGGCTGAAATCTCCTGATTTCTTTTATCTTGGAAATGCTCCCAACACCTTGTGTGAACTCAATAGAAAAATATCTTCATTTCCTCTAGACTACCATTCTATAATCTGTAGGGTAATGGGAGAGGAAGAAGAAGAATATTTATTCTTTTGAGTAGACTATCTGTTGGATGGGTGGAAGGTCTGTAAGATAAATTACAATAATTGAAAAGACCTTTCTGAATAGTTAAAATTATCTGTCTATTAGATAAATAAATGTCAACGAAATATGCTCAAAGCAAATAATTATATGTGTTAGTATTCCTGTGTGGAAGGTCATTCTCTACGTTCTCTGCATTTTTATATGCAAGACTTTGAATTTATTTAGGCTAGGTAACCCTGGATGCTTTTCGCGTTCGTTAGAATTAATTCTAGATGCATCAGGTAAAAATGGTCTTCTCTGTTCTGGTCATTGTTCTTACGTGTGTATGTGACCAACAAGCCATTTGATGTACCAGAGGAAGAAGGGGACTGACATCTTTACCTGGGGAGTACTGAAGATCTCCAGTTGAATGTTGCTTCAATACCTCAAAAGCGTCTTCAAATGCCTGTCCCAGCTTATCTTGTTCAACACAAGCCTGTTAGAACAATGGCAGAACTCAGGAGTTATGAAATTACCAATTGAACTTAATTCTTCTGACATAAAAGAGTTTCTCAATCATGGCACTATTGACATTTTTAGGTTGGCTAAATCTCTGTTGGGAGGCTGTCCTGTGCCTTGTAGGATGTTTAGTAGCATCTCTGGCCTCTATCCATTAGATGCTAGTAGCACTCCCAGAGTTGTGACAATCAAAAATGTCTCAGACATTGCCAAATATACCCTGAGTGACAAAATCGACCCTGGTTGAGATCCATTGCTCTATAATATACTATTTAGAGCGCAGTATCCAGGCCAGCCTGGTGGCGCAGTGGTTAGGTGTGCACCCTCCACTTCGGGGGCCGTGGTTCGCAGGTTCAGATCTTGGGCACGCACAGACACACCGCTCGTGGAGCCATGCTGTGGCTGCGTCCCGTATAAAGTAGAGGAAGATGGGCATGGATGTTAGCTCAGAGCCGATCTTCCTCGGCAAAAGGAAGAGGATTGGCATCAGATGTTAGCTCGGGGCTGATCTTCCTTACCAAAAAAAAAAAAAAAGAGAGAGAGCTGTATCCATTCTATAGTATAGTATTTAACACTCTTGTAAACTTTAGCAAAGAGTTGTATAGTAGGAGACTGATTTGGAAAAAGGGATCAAGGAAATATCTTTAATTGAAGGAATCTGAATTGTTACTTAAAAATTAAATGCTCTTTAATTTCCAAAGCATGTCTCCAAGACCTAATATTGAACTGTTTTGTAAATCATTTCATATCCTTATTAATATGATCCATATATTTTATTTTCAAAATGGAGAAAGCGGAAAGATTTTAAAATGCCAACTTACCATGCTTCGTTAATAAATTGACAGTTCTGAAAAAGATTAATATTTAAAAAACAAAATTAAGTACTGTCTCTATTTAATTTACCTCTGAATTAAAAGAGCTTACTCAAAAACTATTTTCTGAAAATCTTATATAAACCAAAAGTACCATCTGAATTCTCTTTGATAAGAACAAATTTTATTTCTACAAAATTTCCTACAAACGTTTCTTTCTGCTTTTCTATCTTTACAAAACTTCTTGAATGTTAAAATAGCTAAATAGAGTTAATTATCTAAACTGCTTAATTTATGGAATTAGCACAGGAATATATTTAAGTATTTCAAGTATTTTAAAATTCCTTTAAGTATTAAAGTGTTGAAAAATTCTGAAAATCAAAATCTTTTTTACCTTAACGTAACTCTCCATTTATACCAGTGATTTTTTTTTTAACTTTTCTGGTGTCAGAGCCTTCTGAGGATCTGGTGAAAGACATGCTTTTTCTCTCATGAAATGTGGACTTACATTACAAATAAAATGTACCCGATTAAACCCATCCGTGGATTTTCTAAAATCTTACGTTAAGAACGCTGGTCTATAATTTTAAGTTATCTGCTTCCTTATCCCTGTAAGTAATTTAGATTTTGTTTTAAATAAACAATTATCACACAGACTCACATCAAATGTTTTTTAACTCTGTGTTCTTTAGAACGACACAAAAAACAAACAAATCCACGTAAGAAAGAGCGTGTGATGGGTCCAACATTTCTGATCGTGTCATTTAGCATACCAGGCAACTCTGTTTATACACAAGTTCTTAGCATTTATCCTGAAAACACAATGAGCTTACGCTTTAATATTTAACACTGCATAGTACAAAGAATTATATTAGATAATATTATATTACATTATATTAGATAGCATAATCTAATGCTATTATTAAACATATGCATAATACATCAATATAATACATCAGACATCAAAATTCTATTCTGCTCTTTGAAATCACTATATCATGTCAGTTAAAAGAGAACGTGAGAAGAAAAGCCCATTAAAAAAAGGTAACTATGTGACATGATGGGTGTGTTAACTAAACTTATCGTGGTAATCATTTTGCAATATATATGTAAGTCAAATCAGCATGTTGTACACCTTAAACTTACACAATATACATCAATTATATCTCAATAAAGCTGGAAAATGAAAAAGAAATACAGTTTTCCAATGTAGGAGATACTGAACAATTTAGGAAAAACTTAAAAAAAAAAAAGAAAATCCATAAATCACTGGGCTCTAGTCCCTAATGAATGTTATCAGTATATGTATTTTTAAAAAGCCATGTCAATGACTCTTCAATTAATTATGCCCTGACTTATAAGCGCCAAAGCAAATGCATAACATGAGTGTTGTACTTTGAATTAAATATTTAAATGAAGCTATTCTCTTTGACTAAAATACCCCACAAAACTACCACAACTCTTAAAAGTAGCAAACCCAAAGGGAAAAAAAAGCTTGAAAACGTTATTGATCACTTCAATTACTTAATATTTCTTGTATCGGAACAGGCAGTCAATGAGAAACACTCATTAGGCCAAAGGAGAAAATTAACAGTTATTATAAGGTATTTTGAAAAGTGTAAGCTAAACACTTACCAGGAAGATACTTCAACCCTTTACAAAGATGTCTCATTAATATCAGAATCGTTAAGACAGAACTGTCAAGAACTCACTGGCAGAGTTGCATTAAATAGCTGTTTTTAAGGAAGTGCTACAAAAGGGGATTTTTTTTAAAAGATACAGTGCCTTCATAATTTCTATTTCATGATACAGCCAGTAGACACCAGGGGCTATTATTTTGAAGAGGCACAGAATAGTTTGTATCCTATGGGCCAAAAGCATTAGAAGAAACCCATGAAACCCCCACCCGGCATAAGTTGCAGCTCCTCTGGTCTGCACAGCCCCACTGGAAACCTCTGACCTGTACAACTCTTGTCCCTTCTTCTTTTTTTATTCCTATAACTTCTTGCCTGATTCTGGACCCTATATTGCCTTTCTTGACTGGACTGTTAACAGCTTTCACTCTCGCCTCCCCAGATTAGTCTCTTTCCTCCCAAACCTTACTGTACTCATGCTGTCGTTCACTGATGACCTTACTTAGAGGTCTTAAAGGCTTAGGCTGTTGCCCTGGCATTTGAGGCCCTCCATTCAGCCTTATTTCTCACCATTCATTCAAGAGGAGGAAATGGAATCCACGCTACGGTCTTCCCTCCACACCTGGATCCAGTCGAGGCTCCAAAACGGTTAGAAGAGGTTTACAGTTGGTGATCTAATTGGACATGCTTGATGTTGGTGCATTTGCAGAGCAGGTCCAGTCTTCTTATTTAGCTTGAAGGATTATTTGGGATGGTTTTGGTGGCTCTGATGGAAATTACGGGTGCTCCCTCCACCTATAAATCTTCTTTCCCAGTCCATCCATCTGCCCATTTACCCATTCCATCTTACCTGTCCATCAGAGTCCAATCTAACATCCACAGGTACCGGGTGGAAATAAGCTTCCCCTCTGAAACACGTGTCTGCATCACCCTTGCCTAACTGTAACCTTTTGCCATTTTAATAGATGTCACATTTAGCCAGAGGGGTGGCGGGGAGAGAAACCACCTAAGAATTTTTTGTAAACCTTGTGGGTGGGGAGAGCGATTTTCTGTTTTGCATAGCTGGAATCTGAGCTCACCTTTGATATGGGACTATTGTTCTACACCAACTACTTTTTAGACCCGATTTGTTATGCAAATATAAACACATATCCCCTCTTCTGAAATGTAAATGTTATAGTAACAAGTGTATAAAATCGTAATGGCTAATGTTGATGAGCTTTTCATCTGTACCATCCCTATGTCTACGCCCTTTTCGCGCCACTTTATTTTTTCATTTGGTTCATTCAACAAATATATATTACTGAGCTCTTTCTTTTGCTGGACACTGTCCTATGTCCAGGCCCTGAACAAGCTCTAAGGAGGAGAAATGATGACAAAAAAAAAAGCAGACTACAGAAGTAGTAGATAATGATAAGGGAAAGTGATAGAGAGTATGTGGTCATGGTGAATAGTCATGAAAATTCTCTGAGGAGGGAACGTATGTGAGCTGAAATCCAATGATTAGAACGAGTGCGCAAAAGAAAAGAAGAGATGCAAAGATCCAGAGAAGCACCTCCTGGCAGAGGAAACAATAGGGGCAAAGAACCTTAGATGGAAATGAGTTTGTTTTATTTGAGGTACCGAAAGAAAGCCAGGGGTTCTGGAGCAAAATGAGCCTGGCAGCCAAGAGGCAAAATTAGAGAGGAAGGAGGGAGAGTTTAGATCAACCAAGGCAAGGCAAAAGAATAAAAGGCAATCAAGGCAAAAGAACAAAAAAATTTTTTTTTCAAAAGATTCTAAAAATCACATATGATAGTAGTTACCTGCTTAGCTCCATTTCACAGATGAGGAATCTAAACCGAGGCTCAGAGACATTTCATGATTTTTCCTAAGGTCCAATTGCTAGTGAGAGATGGGCTGGGCTGGGTCCAGATTTGGGCCCAAGTGACTTCATGCTCATGCTCTCTACCACCATGCTGGAGCCCTGTGTCTGCAGGTTGGGTTCCATCAGACCAGGATTCTCAGTCCTGATGGTGGTCCCTATAGCGCCCAGGCTTGGTACATATTTGAAATGAATGGAAAAACAAGTGAACTTTCTAAACCAGCATTTTCCCAACTGGTATTTCCAGAGTTTTGTTCTGCAAGATGCTAATAAATGGACCCTGAAAAAGAGTTGAGTGGAAGCCAGGTTTGCTGCTTGGAATTTTAGTGAAACCAACGACACTTTTTGACACAACTCTATATTACAGATGAGAAGGTAGAAATGCAGTTTGGGGTCCTTTGTACTGCTAAAGTAAAAATGCTTTCAGCAACTTGAAAAGATGATGCATTATCGTTTTAGCATCTTAGAGGTCAAGGCTCCTATTCCTTGAGAATCTGATGAAAGCTATGAGTTCTCTTCCCACGAAAATGCCGTCAGCACACGTTTTTAGGCAAATCCTCCCAGTAAGGCCAACAGATCCCAGTTTAGAAGCTTGTGATACAATGTACTTTCACAGCTTTCTTATTTAAGTTCTAAGTACTGCTTCTTGAGATATCTGTACCCAATACACACACACACACACAGCATCTTTTTGGGGGTGGACATCAATGTTTCCCTCAACTCCAGAAGTGAGCTGAGTAACAAGGGTTCTAAAGAGAGGATCTCTGATCGACAGATTCTCTTTTGCAGAAGTTCATTGTCCTCAGTGGCAACTGAGATCATTTTAGAAAATCTTAAGCAATAGATGTGCTGGAGTCTAAAGCATATGGTCTCAAGCTTCAGGTGGAAGATTGCATTCTCTGAGAATAGAGAACTTCAGAACCCAGGAAAAGGGAGACTAAGTTCAAGTTCTTATCATCTTTTGCAATTTCTATTTAAATAACTCAGTTGTTTAGGGGATTAAAGAACTGGGTCTTAATCTTAGTAAGATCTCTGAAAATCTAATAAGCAAATAATATTGCTAGACTGGGAAGGTGCTAGAAAATTTCTCATGTGAGAGTAGGAGAATTTATAGAACCACAGATTATGAGACAAACAGCTAACCCTCACTCTCATTTTAATAATTACTTGCACTAGATTATTCTTTGAAATTTATTGAGACCTGTTTTGTGACCCAACATAGGACATGTCTTGATGAATGGTCCATTTGCACTTGGAGAAATGTGTATTTTGCAGTTATTGTGTGTAGTGCCCATAAATGTCAGATCTAGTTGGTTGATAATGTTGTTCAAATCTTCCGTACTCTTACTGATTTTTTTTTTGTCTACGTGTTCTATCAATTACAAAGATTACAAAAGATTATAGAGATTACAAAGAGTAACATTCAAGTATAATTGTGGATTTGGCTATTTCTTCCTTTAGTTCTGTCCATTTTTGCTTCCTGTATTTTGAAGCTCTGTTAGATGCCTTCTATTTGGTATTGTTATGTGTTCGTGATGAATTGAGCCTTTTATCATTACAAAACTTCTGTCTTGTTTTCTGGTAACCCTTGAAGCCTGCTTTGATATTAACCACACCAGCTTTCTTATCCTTTTTACATTCAACATGTCTAATTTGAATGTGTCTTTATATTTAAAGTATGTCCTTTAAGCAGCATATAATTGGGTAATGCTTTTTTATCCAGTTTGATGATCTCTGCCTTTTTGGTGTTTAGTTCAGTTTAGTAATTACTGATGTGGTTAGGTTTAAGACTAACATCTAGCTATTTGTTTTCTTTCTTTCTTTTTTTTTTTTTTGTGAGGAAGATCAGCCCTGAGCTAACATCCATGCTAATCCTCCTCATTTTGCTGAGGAAGACTGGCTCTGAGCTAACATCTATTGCCAGTCCTCCTCCTTTTTTTTTTTCCCCCCCCAAAGCCCCAGTAGATAGTTCTATGTCATAGTTGCACAGCCTTCTAGTTGCTGTATGTGGGATGCGGCCTCAACATGGCCGGAGAAGCGGTGTGTTGGTGTGCGCCCAGGATCCGAACCCAGGCAGCCAGTAGCAGAGCGCGCGCACTTAACCGCTAAGCCACGGGGCCGGCCCTATTTGTTCTATTTACTTTTTGTTCCCTTGTTCTTCATGTCCTGCTTTCTTTTGGATTAAATAAGTATTTTTATTATTTCATTTTATTTCCCCCATTAGCTTTTTATAATGTGATGATGTGTTATGATATGATATACTTCTATAAGTTATTTTTAGTGGTTGCTCTAGGGATTACAATATGCATTCTTAATTTATCACAGTCTACCTTGAGTTATTATTATACTATTTCATGTATAGTGTAAGAAGCTTATCATAGTATAATTCCATTTACATCCCCTCCCATCCTTTGTGCTATCTTGTCATATATTACTTCTACATATGTTATCATAACAGATTATTTAACCCTCACAATAATGCTGTGAGGTGATATTATTCCTCAGTTCCAATTGTGGCTTTATATCTCCTATCTGTGTAAACTTGGACAAGTTACTTAACCTCCCAGTTTCCTCTCTGTAAAATGTGGAATGATTTTACTTACCACATAGAGTTATTGTGAAAATCTGAGTGAATCCATGTATTGTACTTTGGACAGTCCTGGCACTTAATAACTGCTCAACACATGTTAGGTCCTGCTTTATAATTATCCCTGTTTTACAGATGAAGAAAGAGGCTCAGGGAGGTTAAGTGACTTACTCGAGGTCACACAGCTAGTGAGTGGTAGAGGTGAAGGTTTTCAAACCAGTTCTACCTGACTCCAACCAAAGGCTTTTGATTCAACTGGACTTTGCTTCCTTATCTGTGGAGTAGACTGAGAATGAGAATAAGAATTCCATGACCTTATGTCAAAGGGCTCATAAGAGGTTTTATTGAGAAAGTGCAGGAGAAGAGTAGTAAACATGTATATGGTAGCTGTTATATCACCAAAACTGCTCCTGTTTTACCAAATCTGGGACCTGTAGCCTAGCTGGCAAATGGCAGCGCCGGGACTCAAACTGAGTTCTTCCCTTGCCGTGACCGGTGCCTCTTCCCGATAACCAGGTTGCACAAATATTCTTCTTAGGCTCTACGTATTAACTGTAATTACTTTAATAGCTCCCACTAGTGTTCATACCAACGGAGGAAACTCCTCTGACACAGGA